CTTCTGCTCTCGCTACACACGCCTGATACTACATCCTGTCTAGCTACAGACAAGGTCCACGCTCAGTGCGCCTGCGCCATTTCCTGCTTCGGTGTGCAGAAGCTGGGAAGATGCTTCCAGATGATCCCATGGTCAGTTGCCCAGTTGTGATGGGTTATATTGGGATAATGGAAAATCAAATGGAAACTACTATTTAGGGTTATATAGGGATAATGGAAACTACTATAATGGGTTATATAGGGATTATATAAAGGTTCCAGGCTCAAGGGTTTAATTGGGGTTTAGGTATCTGCAGTGTATTGGCGGTCCACAGCTGTGAGGGGGGTATGGAGAGTCGAATGGAAAAGCACAGAAACAACAAACTTGGCATTTACAGGGGTTGATAGGGTGTTACGCGCAGAAATCCTCGCAGAGCTATATGTAGTATAATTTGCTCCAGATCTTCACTCTACTGAAACAGGCTACGTCTTCAGAAGGCTTGAGATGTACCCTTCGAAAGCTAACCTGGCACAACATATTAGAGCTATAATCCATAGGAGATTACATATAGGACTGTTGTAGGGGTTATGTAGGAGGATGCTAGGAGTTTAGACTGTGGCTCATATACCTTTTTTTGTGAGGGGAAGTGTGTTTCAGGTTGCATGTTAGTAGGGGGCTGCAAAGAAGGTCTGTTATCAAGCCTGGGTTGACATGTTTTCAGAGTAGTCGATCCCTTTCCCGAAGCCAAGGAAAATTCTCAAATCCAGAGTCTTGCAGCCAGTCTCGAATCTGAACATTGATTTCGTATGCGGTTCTGAAAATCGAGGACTATGTAATGTATACGGACACTTGTACGTAGGTTCCACTCAAATCCTTAAATCTCTTTCAACACTCGCCAGTTTAAACGCTGTTTGGTCGGACTTATAGTCTTGTTTAGGTTTAGCATGATGCTCCTGCAATTTAATTTCCAAGCACACTTCCAGAAAAGCAGGCTCTTTGCGCAGTCCTATAAGTTTCCACTGTGTGCTTTCATGGAACCCTTAAAGCTCAGACTTTGGAGCCCCATCCAAATTGGTGGTTCCAATATTTGAGGGTTTCCTTTCTGGGAATCTCTATGCGAAGTCTGATAGTAGTGGGTAACCAAGAATCCTTGAAATCTGGGCATCTGTCCCTGAAGCAGAAGCCCGACATTTAATTACCAGTTAATCCTTGCAGCATCTCTCCCAAACATAGCCAGGATTGGACGAGTCGTTTAGTTGTGGGGCAGATGCCATAACTGTCAGGGTTCAGAGTGACTTAAAGTCACACAGCTTGAGACCAACCACCACGTGATCGTAGCCCAAACCCTGTAAGAGAGCTCTGACCCACTCACTGGCACCCAGAACTTGGCAGGCCGTTTCACACTTGCCCCTCTCTGGGGCATGCTTTAGCCAGATGGCTTAAGATGGGCACATGCTACCCTAAACCCTAGACCCTTAAAACCTTAAATGTGGAACCTCTAAAGACACATGACTGAGTCCTTCAACTTGTTGCTAGTTAGAAAGAAGGAGTTACTGGTGGTTCGTGGGGAGTAAGGTTTCCCTACCGCCCCTCCCTATTCTATCCCCCGGTAAAGTAAAGTTACTAAGGGATACTTCGGGCTAAGTACAGGGGAACCTAGGGGGGTAGTAGGGGGGGCCCCGTGATACTACCCTACTGGGCGCCACTTAGCTGAAGGCTCCGGAAGCGACTTGTTCAGACGCTTTTTCTTACTGGGGGTTGGTAGGGAATAGGAGAATATCTCAACAAGGAATTATGTTCCCTTATTCCCTACAAACCACCAGTAAGTTTAGGGTTGTGGGTTCGGGCTTGTGGTATAGACTGCTAAAGCTCCTTTTCAAAGCCAGGATATGGTTGCAGCATATTTGTAACCTTAAATCCTTAATCAGGAATCATCCAACCTGACGCCTTGAGCCCGAGACTCTAAATCCAATCCGGGTTTAGGGTTTAGGGTTTAGGGACCATACGCAGCGATGCAAAATGTTTTAACCTTTCTGCAAGGCTTCATTGCCTCGAGCTTGCTGCAGGTATCAACGGGTCAAGAAATCGGCACATACTTTCACATACGCTTCCAACTACATACCATACCTTTTGGAATGCAGCCCCTTTCAGGAGAAGATCTGTGTATCATGTATCAGTTGACAGGCATAGCCGCCAGCTTTGTTAATTACCTTGAGCCCTACCTCCTATAAATTTGGCTTGCTCTTCAGAGTGCCAGTCCAGGTCCAAGCCTGCGTCATGTCAATCAAGCTCCATGTCAGCCTGCTGAGTGGGAGGACAGTCCAGATTGAAACGGGACAAGATGTTGATGTTGGGGCATTCAAGCGACGTGCGCTAAAGGCTCTGTCAGTCAGAAAGGGCAGGCTTGTCAACTCCACCGGCTTCGTGCTGGATGAAGCAAAGACAATCGGAGACAGTGAGCTGTGCAATGATGAGTCATTAAAACTGCTCATACATCCCACTGTGATACAGGCTAATAGAGGAATTGATGCTGGAGCATTTGCTGTGATCCTTGGCGATGGATCTGTGGTGATGTGGGGCAACTCCGCCGTTGGTGGCGACGGCAGTGCGCTGCAAGATCAGCTGAAGAATGTGAAGCAGATTCAGGCTAATCTCCATGCTTTTGCAGCCATCCTTGCAGATGGATCCGTGGTGACCTGGGGCAGTGCTGCCTTTGGTGGCGACAGCAGTGCCGTTCAAGATCAGCTGCGGCCGACGGAGAATTGGCTGGTAGAGGTCTGAGCATGCCGTAACTCTTGTGCAATCTGCTGTTTTACCACCTAACATTCTTTTTGATGGGTTTTGAAGCTCGCTAGAAGTTCCATCTGCATTGCGCAAGTGTCGCTGGCAGCTTTTGAAAACCCTGATGTTTCTCATTGACTTGGAGCCGAAAGGGCGATGGCGCTAGAGTTTTCCTTGCAGTTGGTGTAGTGTAAGGGCTTCTTTGAGTCGAATCGGGTTTTGCGACACATTGATTTGTTGCAGTAGGGCTGTACTAGGATTTCTAGGTTACAGGTGCAGAGTAAACCCGCAAAAAGTTAGGAAACCCAAGCCCCTGCTCGATCCCTTGACTTCTGGATCCTGTTGTTTCTATTACCTACGCCTGCAGAGTTGAGGGTTTAGGGCTTAGGGTCGTATTTGTAGTTTTTGCACTGGTACATGCATCCTCATAATCAGTATTAATGTTTCACTTTCTTCAAAATACATGCGGATTCGACGGAGGTTACTGGGGTCCCGGGGTCCTCCGTCAAGGTTCGTTGAGCTTGTAGCAAATGTGGCAAGATGCTGTCAAACGTAGCAGGCCCGTTCGTATCCTCATATTGCCAACAGTCTGCGAAAGGGGCTTGCCACAAGTGGCATGTTCCAAGAGTTATCGCCATACGTCCTGACAAAATCCCAATTACGCCTCATAAATTCATGTGTAACCCGAACCCGCAAACCTGAACCCTATAACCCCCATAGAATTCCTTGAGGCTGCACCCGAAGTCTAAAACCCTCACGCCTACGACCCTAAACTCTAAAACCCTGAATAGTAGTTTCCATTTTTATTTTCCATTATCCCACTATAACCCCAAAATATACCCTATAATCCCCATATAAACCCATATTTTGGGAACAGTAATTTAGGGAAACTTCCATATACCCTATAATCCCCACATAAACCCATAGAATTCCCAGAGCCAGGCCCGACGGCCGCGAGGGAAGGTGCAGCAACACATCCGGACGCCGGCGGAGGCAGAATCGGAGCTCGTGGCTGCGCCCTCAGGGGTGGGTTATTCATTCATTTGGGGAAGTAGGAAGACAACAGCAAATAGAATACCAAGTTGAAAATTATTATCAACACACATGGAAATTACCATCAAACACATGGAAATGGCTATAAACACAAATGGAACTTATCACTATAGGGTTTATGGTATATAGCCCTAAACCCTTTATAGTAGTTTCCATTTTCTTTTCCATTATCCCAATATAACCCCAATATATACCCTATATAACCCCTATACTATAGGGTTTCCAAAGAACTTGGGCCTCCTCCGGGGTCACGTATTTCTGAGAACGCCCATCTGGGAACCCCCAATTTGATGGGGAATGGAAAGCCAATGGAAACAACAAGAGGGTGTAGGGTTTAGAGCGTAGGGTTTAGGGTTTAGGGTGGTTAGCAGGGATGAATTGTGGAGTTCTTGCATTCATTCTATTAAAGCCACCAAAAAGATCACACATAATTGTACTTCTGAATGAGGACTGGGCCGTTGTTAGACAATGGCCATTGCTTCATTCTGTGAGTTGGGGAGTGTAGAGTAGTAAGGAATCAGGTAGAACAGAAAATGGAGATGAAAGGGAATCCGGAATCATATATACGGAGTTTATGGGGATTTCAGAGATGTAGTGGGTCATTGTTTGACGTGAGTTGTAGATCTGGACGAATCAGAACCCTTTGAGGGATACAGTCATGATTCTCACTAACATTCCAAAAAGGAACCAGAGGAGTCCATCAGGAATGTCAAGGGTTTAAGGAGTGTAGGATTTGGGTCAGAAGGGGCTTGGGGTTTAGGGGTGAGTGTACGGTTCAGGGCTTTAGAGTTTATAGATTCTTTGGCTTCGGATGTAGAGTTTAGGGCCGTTCGGCGGTCTGCTTTGGTCATGTAATTGAAAAAAGCCTATGAGCGGCCAAACCCGAAGCTCCCTAAATCCCCCCAACCTGAAGCACCCCCCGTGCGCGGGAGCAGCTTGTATGTCTCAAGGACAGCGGCTCTAAGCTTAAGGCTGGCGGGGCCCTTGGGGCAACAGATTTGAGCAGGTTGTTCACGAGAGGGATCCCAATCAGATTACTCAAGTGCCTGCTGCATAAATCGGGTTCAAGTTTACACTGTATGCAGCACAATGATTGACTTCATCAGTTGATCCCTACAGCACTAGAGAGACAATTCGGCGATTCAGTGGCACCTGCGGCAGTGGCAGGTGTTGACCTCTGAAGATTGATGCAGGCTGTGATGCGGCATGCAGCCTGCTGTGACGAAGAAGAGGCTCTGGAGGCCCTGGCAGTGGCAAAGAAGGCCTTGGGCGATGTTGATATTCACTACCGGGAACGCGAAAGTGGATACACAGCCCTCCACTACGCTGCGCAGTATGGGTTGGTTGAGCTGGCGACTGCCTTGCTGGATGTTGGGTCAGTGGTGAACTCCCAAACCAAGGACCTGATATTGCAAAACACCGTGGTTCAGGCTGCCGGGCAAACCCCCCTGCACTTGGCAGCTCGTGCTGGTGAACAGGAGGTCGCCCAACTACTCATGGCAAGGCAAGCGGATGTCGCTTTGCTGGATGTAGACGGATTCGCAGCTGTGGAGATTGCAAAGTTGCACAAGCGCGATGGCATTTGTCAGGTGTTGGGTGTAAGCCCTGATGCTTTGGATAAAGAGGATCTTGACAACAGGGCCGTTAAGGCTGTGGAAGCTGGTAAGATTCGAGCTGCGAGGCAGTTGGATGTTCCCCCGCATCTACGCCAAGTTTACACGCTGAAAGCTGTGTGGTCCCAAGACGAGTGTGACTTCGTCTTGCAGGCGGTCAAGGCTGCGGTGAGCAAGTCCTCGGGATGGACAACCGACCGACATGCAGCGTATGCCACTACGGACATGCCCTGCAGCCGCGTTCAGGAAGTTGATGCGTGGGTGAGGGAGTCCTTAGCCCAAAGAGTGCTGCCGGAGCTCGCAAAGCGCCATGGCTGGGGTAATGGGACTGGATCCTGCCTCTACTTCAGGGATCTCTTCTTTGTGCAATATTCTGCAGGAGGTCAAGCTGGCTTGGCCCTCCATCGCGATGGTTCCATCATATCCTTCAACATACTCCTGAACCTTACTGGTGTTTACTCACTGGTTCTTAGTAGGGAATAAGGGAATGCGCTCCCTATATAATCCCAATGCTAAGAACCAGTAAGCCAGTAAGTTACTGGTGTTGAGTCTGGAATGGAAGAAGGGATCCTTCTGAGGCGTCCGTAAGTGCCCCCTTACCGTAGTCCGCATATCGTATTCTTCCATTCCCCAAACCCTAAACCCCTAAACCCTAAAGCCTAAATAATTTAGTAACTAGTAGTTTCCATCTTCTCTTCCAGTCTGCCTTCCCGACCCACCAGCAAGGAACAGCCCGGAGGATTTTGAGGGCGGCGGCACCTATGTGGAAGCAGATGCCAGGGCTCGTTTGGAAAGAGCTTTTCCTACTAGTGGCTGATAGGGAACGTACAAGAAAATCAGAACTAGTATATGATTCAGGGTTCAGGGTACAGGGTATCGGGACGTTTATACGGGATTTTCAGGGACTACTGTTGGCACGCATAAGCCCTGGAGAACTTCCCGAACTGGATGTTACTGTGCCTTCAGGATTCATGATTATGACCCAAGCTGACCTCACCCCCAAGTGGAGGGAAACCACTTCTAGAATGGCTCTCAACCTTATAGTCCCCCTCAAGTAGATAGAATATGGCTTTGGGTATATTATACCCCATACGCTATCTACCTCACAGGGACTGTAAATCCTAAACCATTTTGACCTCGACCCCAAATCCTATACCATGTGTAAATGCAGCGAAGGATGACACTGCTTATCAGATAGACCAGGGAGATTGCTTCGTTCACAGCGGAAAGCTCCGCCACGGAGGCGTGCTGGGATCCTCTTCATTTTGGGTTTGGAGTTTGGGGTTTAGGGTTTGGGGTTTAGGGTTTGGGGTTTAGGGTTTAGGGTTTAGGGGTTAGAGTTAGTTGTGCTATGCCATGAGATTTATATCATGGGTACATCATATTGATATTATACTGTTTCCTGTTTCCTGGTAGTGGTAAGAGGCTGGGTCCACGTACCGCGCCAAGCACTGCCATCCAGGGGTGTAGGGTTTGGGGTTTAGAGTTTAAAGTTTATGCAAGGTTCGGGGCGGTTAGCTCTGAAGGGTTTAGACCTTGGAGCCTGTTCTTCCTTGAACCCTCCCCCTTTACTTTGGAGACTCCCTACATTAACACAAAGTGTATTGGGCTATAGCTATTAAACATTGAGAGGAAGGCTCGATCTAGGTACAATGGATCCTTTCCAGTAGAGATCGAGAATGATGGTGGCGCCACTGCTGCTGGCTTTAGGCGGAATAATCCTCTCCCCCCAACGTTAAACCCCTCACCCCGCCTAATAGTACATACTCCCAATACATAATAACATACCACATAACGGGAGTATTTGATATTAGGGTCTGTGTGGGGGGAGTTAATATTAGGGGGAGGGGATTAGGCAGAATAGGAGTAGGGTCAGAGCGGTAGGACCAGTACTAGTCCTTGTCCACGTTCTTGTTGTTCTGTAGGTTTTATTAGTCACTTCGGACACTACCCAAGAAGCAGGCGGAAGTCCAGGTGCATGTCTGCAACATGTTTGGGCCTTGAACTTGAGCTTTGTTCTTCTTGCTGTTGATGTGTTGCACGCTGCAAGACATAGCGCCGCAATGTGTGAGTTTTTGAGCTGCATGTTGCAGCATGCTTCGCATATGTTGATGAGAGGCCAGCCCGTGACGAGAGGCGAGCGATTCTCGGATGCAATGAATCGCTTCAGGAGAAGAGTTTCACTTTGCACTCCACGCAAGCTGGACTTGTCTTGGTTCAGAAAATTCGCACAAGACCTCACACGCAATGCTGAACAAAATAGCCCCACTTCCTTAACAAAGGTTGAAACGATGAAGCTTTCCCTACTCTTACCCGCATGCGCGTCTAAGGGATACGAGTCGGTGTCAAGACTTTGCCAGAGTCATACACGCTCAGCCAGTTTCAGGGAAAGTTTGTGCGACAAGTGGGAATAGGAAGCAACTTTCTGAGCTAAAGGGTATAGAGTCTGAGGTCAGTTTGATTTTCTGAGAAGTGGATGTCTGCTTTGGGCCCTGAGGGAAACTTGACTTGAAGCTGGTGCCATGAGGATACATCATCGTTGGCTTCGTGGACCTTGATGAAGATGGCCCAGACACTACACCCTGATGACGGCACACGCGCATCAATTTCCGTATTTTCACCCTAGACATGGCTTCTGAACAGCAGGGTGAAAATGCGATGCCGCGCCAATACTGCAAGCTATGGATGGGGGGAATGGAGCTTCAGCGTGGAGTTTAGGAGGATGCAGCTCTGCTACTATGGGGACATATAGGGATGCCCATCTTCCCAACTTTGTACCAGGGAAAGCAGGTCAGACAAGCAAGGACCTGTAGCAATGCACTCAGAGGCATTTGCAATCGCAATTCCAGGGAGAGTAGGCCATCACTGCTCAGTAATGACTGCGCCAGGTTGTCATTTCTGCATGAAGGGTTCTATTATCAGGTAGGGCACGTTGCATTCCCAAAAGGTGATTCAGGGGTTCTCAAAATGTTGGGTACCCCTCCTGCTTCTAACCTGTTTGTAGGGCTCCTAGGGATCAACAACCCTAGGCCCCTTTAAAGGGTTATATAGGGATATTACCCCAAGAATGGAGAATCAAATGGAAAAGAAAATGGAAAATGAAATGGAAACTGGGATTATAGGGTAGTTTATAGGGGTTAGG